CAAAAATTCTTAAATCCGCCCTGAAGACCTAGTAATAGTCCTATGACTTTTAGGTTACCATATATTTTCCACTTAAACGTATTATAACTTGTTGCATTTAGAATAAGTGACATACTTTCGCGTGTTTCCTTCATGCAACTACATGTGCAAGAGGAATAGAGGGTCTTTTGTTACCATTATGGAGCAGAACGGCTTTTAAACTTGTTTTAGACGCTGTGTTGTTAAATTTTAAACAATTTCATCGATTTAGGGAAAAAGCAAATTTGAAATGTGTTCATTAAATTTTTGTGAAAAAATCTTACGTGTTAGGAAATTTTTACTATTATTTTCACATTTAGGGACCCAAAATTAACAAAACACTGCTTTTAGCATTACAGTCGTAAATTGGCTGTAAACTAGTGTAATAATTAAACTTTATATGGGCTGTTTTTAACAGGGACTAACGGTTGACCTTAACGCTCTAACAACGCGTTTTCCTCCCTCTATATCTCGAAAATGATTCAATGTATAAAAAACTCGTTGGAACAAAAGATGTATGGAATTCAATCCTCTACAATATTTATAATGAATATAAATAGCGAAAACCCCATAGGAAACGAGATATTTGCAAAAATGTGCAAAAAGTCGATTTTTGTGACCTTTGACCTTAGATTTTAATGGTTGCGTACACCCTACTATATGTAGGATTCGTGACAACTTTTAGGATGTGAAAATTCAAGTTTATACGAGTTTATAGCTGGGTATCTCAAATTACGGGAGAGTCACCTAATTTTGACTAAGATGACTGGACCAATATGGATACTTGAAGATCCTTTCACATATTTTTATCACCTCCATGCTTGAAGACATCGACGTGTTCTAAACTCGAAACAGATAAACTTCTTTGTATCAAAATCATTCAATAAGTTGCAATGGCCAACTTTTCTTTTTCTTTTGATTTTTATCGAGCTTATTTTATTTAATAGGACAGGAAATAACCCGGTTTCCACGTTCATTACCGAACGAGATAGGTGAAACACCGACAAGAAAACACTTCTGGGTGCGTCCTTTTTCCGGCATATTTGGCGCAACCTTGCGTAAAACGATCGATCGTTCGGTGACGATAAAACAAGAAATTCCGACGCCAATTTGATGCATGACTGCAAGGTTGAAAGCGAAAGAATGAAAGAACGCGCGATTTCCGTGACGAGAATACGGCCGTTCCATATTCGAGGTGAACATTAAAAATCCATTTGCGAGCCCACCCTAGTTGTGAGGCACCAAATCGAGTGTACAATAGCACTTTTTCTTCTACATAAATGTGCATCGTCTTCAATTGTTAGTGCGGTGGTCTGATAACGATCGCAGTTATCCGTTTTATTTCTGGGTTTGTTGTTTTCTGGGACAGCAGAAAGCTGTAAAGTCATAAATAGACTATTAGTCAAGTTGGGCGAGCAATAATAACGCAGTTTAATAAACCATCAAACCAGTCAGTTTTGTTCCCATTCAGTTGAATATGTGTACCAATATTCGATAAATTTTATGTTTCTCTACGTATCTTGTGATTTGTATCGCTCAAAGCACTAAGTACTCCCGTCTGTTTCCTGGCATGTTTCTCCAATATTATTTGTTTATTATTGATCCATTTCCTGACCTGGTTCTGTATACATTATTTTATCACTTCAATAACTAGTTGAGAAGCACCAACTCGGCCACTGCGACCGTTACCACATCGCTCTTGATAATGTCTGCCGCAGTAGTAGACGAAACGTCAGGCATGAAACCCTGGAGACTACGGACAAAAAAAAAACAGAAAATAGCTTGCACACATTATCTCCGGCCGTGAACGTTCACATTCTTTCCTGTATAAGGTTTGCAAGATAACGAAATGTATCTTTCAATTGTCCAATCATTGTAGAAAATTCATCATAAAAAAAAATAATTGTCCTGCCCCCCTGAGAGTTGTCGTTCGTATGGGAGCGACAGCTGATTAACGGAAAAACAGATTTTGAACAGACAGAACAGAACAGATTCTTCCCTCTTCTTGATGACATTCATCACTTCCTTTCATTAATTGCTAACAGCAAACCGGAACCATTGAAAAAGCAGCGGATAAGATCTTGAAATATATTGAAGATACATAAATTATTAGCAATTGTATGAAAGTAGGCGACGGACAATGCTAATAAAGTATTTCTCATTCACAGTTTCGTAATTTGTCTTCGCTTCGATGAAAGAAAAAAACTTCCTGTCTTTCATCGATAGATCAGGATTATAATTAGTTCGTTAAGAATGCGCGCCCCCGGGCTTTAATAGTAATGAGTTTATTTGCCGGATGGGTAGACGGCGGTGTTTTTGCTTGTACAGTTAGCTCGATACGAATGCACGGTGAAGTAAATGATTGGTTGTTTTTACTTAGGAACTTATGAGGCTCAGTGAATAGTTGAAGCGGAGAGTTATACAGGGTGTCAATTTAAAAGCTTTCAACTCGTAATATCTTCCTTCAAGCAAATAATATGAGAAATCGAAAAAATAGGTCAATTTTATTGTCAAGGGGGGCAGACATCCAGGACTATTTGTTACCCTCTATTTTTTGGAAAATGCTCGTGAAAAAATAAGTCAGGGTACCATTGGAAGCAGAATTGAACGCCCATCAAAATGATGTGCCACTCGACCCCTCTTCCTATTTGAAATTCTAAGGGTCTACCCCTCCTATGGGGTTGAATCACGAGGGCTATAAATAGTCTTTGAAAGTGTCCCCATTGACAATAAAATTGAGCTGTCTTTTCGATTCCTATATTGTTCACTGGAAGGAGGATATTAAAGGTGGGACGTTTTCTAATTCACACCCTGTATATGGAAGGAAATGGAAACCGGGGGTGAAAACAATTTCTCAAAAAGTATCTTTGGATATTATCGGAAAGTAACAAAAATGAATTATCTATATGAGCTTATCGACCGTAGAAACTTGTCATACAATTTTAAATTGTTAGCAAACATAATTTTGAACGTTACTCTGTTTTTTTATCGAAACAGTGGCAGATTTTTATGTGAATAAATTAGTTTACATANTTTTGTAATAGTTTGTTTCCCTCGAAACCAAACTTGAGATGTGGATTCTTATATACTTTGAAACATACTCTCTGTGTTTCAATATTCAAATGCATCCGAATCTTATTCACTGGTATCTCTTTTTCGGATTGTTCCCCATCGCTATTGGAATCATTACTTAGGAAAAACCCTGCGTTGTTATCACACTCGTTATAACTATCAGTACTTGTCCAAGGACGCCACATTTTAAACAGATAACAAAATTTTCAAGTAATTATAACTGCACTAACATCGAATTTCAACACTCAAATCGCGATCAGTTCCTGAACTGAATACGACGGCGATAACCAAGGCCGCATTCCCCGATTTCTATTCGTCACCGTAACATGACTTCAAATTTAATTTTATGACTCTTCAGCCAATCATAAAACACGGTTATTAAAAATTAGGTATCCAAAACGAACTGTCAAGTCTACAGTCTACGCGGACTAGTTCGCTGCCGGTTCATTTCTATGTATTGTTTTCTTTTGGCCTTTGAGAGTGCCTCCAACTTTAAATGTGCACAATATCGTTTACTTCGACTATACCCTCTTTTCAGAAGCGACTAGGCCGCAGCCTTCAGGTCCAGGTACTGCTTATTTTGTATGCACTCTCGGAGGTGAAAACATTTTCCCACTGCTGTATGTGACGTGTTCCGTTCGTTTGAAATAGAATGTAAAATATAAAGTTGCTTCGTCGGTTATTTCCCTGCTTCAAAAATTTTAGTTTGGTTTTCTTTCAGTTTCAAAGTTATCCACCCCTTCCATCGTGTGAGCCGTATTACATGTAATAGAAATTCACGTCACGCTATCCTAGTTTGCGGCACTGTGAACCATTATTCGAGCGCTTTACGTTAACCGGTAATCAAGTTACGTACTCGTACTTGAAACCCAGTTGCAGTCGACGAAAGGCCTCTATTCGATTCAGTTCTGCACATACCAATGACAATTGGATGTCGTTTTATCGGAATGATATGGCACTCGCACTCGCCGATTTTAAAGTGGAATCATACTTTGATGAAGAGTTGCCTCAGAGAGGGTTGATATTCCACAAGGATCAGTTCTGGGAGAACTATTCAGTAGGGCCGTTAGTTTAAGGGGGAGATGTTATTTTTACCACTGGCGGTTACGCTGAATCCTTTAAATGTTGAGAGATCATAATTTGAGTATTAATAATAGAGAGAAGATGTAGTAAAGTGCATAGAAGAAAGTGTTCCAACATAAACGGTGGTGTTCAATTCTTTGAAGATAGCTTCAAATGGAGGCTAGTTTCTTCTGAATCATACCTAACCAATATCATAACATATGGTTACGTATTTCTCTGCCAAAGAAGTATTTTGAGAAGTTTTTGGGTGTCTCAGAAATCTCAGTACTACAGAAGAATTGTAATTGGCTATAAGTACCAAGGTATAATTCATTTCCAGAAAGGTTGATTTAATAGAACAAGACATTTTGACGTCAGGGCCGTCAGGGACGCTGGCACCGTCCATTATTGTAATGTAAAGTAATGTAAAGGAAATTGAAAGGAGATTATCATCGAAAGTTCCACCATTAATGTTACCGATTGACATTAAAAACACAAAAGCTACTTCCTGTGCTTGATCGTCATATAATAAAGGTTCTTGTTCCCAACATTTCGTCTATACATTATCAGGGGCGATGAGATAACGGGTGCAGTATTCTAGTTTTCGTCACAGAGCATACAACTTGGGACTGGGACTGAGCACTGTGCTTCATCTCCTTCGATAATATCGACCGCTGTTATAGACTGAACGTTAGATATCAAAAAACCTGCAGACCACAGCCAACAATCCCTCCGGCTATCACAGCTCGAATTCTTTGAATATCGAACAGTTTTCGTAAATGATGTTCTCATGATTTATTTGATGTTTTCCTCGACTGATCCGATATTTCTTTTGTTCGCAGGGATAAAATGCAGCGTGAGGAGTTATCGGGCGCCGCGGGGCAGGGACTCGGCGGCGGGGCCCGGACTAGCCCGGCATGGCGACCCCAATGAGATCCAGCTCGCAAGAAGCGGGCCACCACCGACCGAGGGTGGCGGACTCCAGCAGGAGCTTGAACGCCACGGCGAAGCCATCAGATCACCACCACCACCAACAGACGATCATCAACAACCAGACCGTTACGACGACAGGTCAGCAGCAGCAGCAACCTTCCAACTTCGAGTACGATGACAACGAGTGGGACATAGGCATTGGCGACCTCATCATCGATTTGGATGCAGACATAGAGAAAACGACCGACGTGGGCATGGCGGCTAATGGCGGCCCGCAGGCCTCCAAAGCTCAGGCCACGGCCAAAATGCATATCGAGCACTCCGCCGTCGCCGACAAGGGCCTTAAGATGAAGATCAAGCGGACGAAACCAGGTACCAAGACCTCCGAGGCTAAGCACGAGATCGTCAAGTCCAACGAGCTGAACGGCGGTGTAGCCGACCAAACCGACCCCAAGCTGCCTCCGCAGAACACGCCAAAGCACCTCGGTGCCGTAGTCCCCCCAACGGCGACCACCCCTGGCCCCCTTGGCTCCGGAAACGGTAAGCGCGGCTCCAGCGGGCACCGCAGAGACAAAGCGCGTGAGAAGCACGCCTCCTCCTCTTCTTCCGGTTCGAACTCTTCCGTTACGTCGTCGTCGACGTCTTCGTCGGTGAAACTCGTCGCGCAAACTCCCAGTGCGGAAATGAACGGTATGATACGCGTGAGCGCGCCTCAAGCGGGACCGCCGCGCAGCACGGGGCCCGGGCCGCCGCAGGGGTCTGTTTCGGGACCGTCTCCTCCGGGTCCGCCACCAAGCCCAGCCGCGGCGACGGCGCAAGGCTCGGCCGCCAAGCCGGAGCAGGCAAAGGTGGCGGCGGCGTCGGGAAGTGGGAGCGGGGCTGTTGCGCAGGCGCAGCAGCTTTCCGCGTCGATGCCGAATACGGACGATAGGAGTTACACGCCGCCTCCGGCGAAGAAGATGAAAACCGAGAACAAGGTGAGTACTTGTTTTTCTTGTTGAAGCAATGATGAATATATATTTGGGGTTGGTGGGAAAAAATGATATGTGATCAGAAAATATTTTGAAACGTCTTCTCATCATTGTTATGGAACCTTGTAATGGACCACGTCTTCTTGAACTTGATGTCTGGGGTACCAGGACCTCTTAAACGAGATGAAGAGAAAGGAGGTTGAGTATATGAGAGTGTTACTAAGAGGTACAGGATTTGATTTTCAAAACAACAACAAAAAATTGAAAACATTGATGAAATCTTTATTGGAATCGATAGAACGATCAATAGAATTCAATGTTTGAAAATGATTTCATGCAAATGTTGTCCGCGGCTCCGCTTCAGATGGCCTATGCGCAAGGTCCAATTTTGGTGCACTCTTTTCAACATATCGACCGGTATTTCACGTATAAATGCTTCAATATTGGCTTCCAGAGCGTCAGTCGTTGCTGGTTTATCCCTGTATACATGAGCCTTAACATGACCCCACAGGAAATTATCCAAAGGCGTTAAATCACACGATCTAGGCGGCCAATTGACGGGCCCCAAACGTGAGATAAACTGTTCACCGAAGGCGGCTCTTAATTGGGCCATTGTTTCGCGTGCCGTGTGGCATGTGGCACCGTCTTGTTGAAACTACATGTCAGATATGTCCAATTCTCCCATTCTGGGCAAAAAAAGTCGTAAATCATCACACGGTATCGCTCGCCATTCACAGTAACGTTCCGGCCATTGTCGTCTTTGAAGAAGTACGGCCCGATGATGCCACCGACCCATAATCCACACCAAACAGTGACTTTTTCGTGATGCATCGGTAGCTCTTGCAATGCTTTTGGCTGGTCTCCACTCCAGATGTGGCAATTTTGCTTGTTAACGTATCCATTCAACCAGTAATGAGACTCGTTGCTGAACACAATTTTTCGATAGAAATGTGGATCTTCCTCCAACTTTGTCAGCGCCCATTCACCAAGACTCATTATAGCCAGCACATCCTGACGGGTACCTACCCAGCCACGCACCTCCTTTGCCTTTATTTAATCCTGTCTAAATGTTGGTTCCAGGTCAGTCTGGGGTCTACACTCACTCCCAGATATTTAACATCCCTCGACAGTCATCCCTTCACCTTGGAGTTATAGAGGTCCTAGTTGCTACATCTTGGTCCTTTTGGCGAAGGCTACTTCGGTCGATTTGCATCAGCAGTGTCTGGTGCATGCGTTTCCTCATTGTGGTATTATATTTGCCTGGAATAGGATGACTAAGTCGTCAGCATAGTCCAGCACATTGTACCTATTATAGTCCAGAAGATGTTCGGATGTTACTGCATATGAGTTCTGATGTTTGTTCTTCTCAAAATAGGCATTGAGACGAAAAATCTTTCAATTGCCTTCGAAGAAACTGATTAACTCTATTAGGGCTCTGTAGTAAAGACTTTATTTATCAGAATACTAAGAGGCTGAAAAACCCATTGCCATGTATTACAAAAAACGATCAGAGATCATGAACTGAGCCATAATAACGTCACCGTCGCACATGTTTTATCGATCCATGGCCTTCTCGTAACGAGCTGGTAGCCGCTCGGGAATGTATAAACAGAGTCATTCATCGGATCGTTGTTACGCTAGTCAATTTATATCATCGATTGCGGCAGCAAATTGTGTTTTGCATATTCATTCGATGTTAACTAACGATCGTAGCAGGTGAACTGGCAGCGGGATTCACGATTCGTATAATTAACAATGCTCAATTACCGTATTAAAATAACTATGTTCGTCGTCGGGTGATGGATTCATTTTCCGCGCGTTGAGTTCGCAGTGCTGGTTTATTTATAATCCAACAAGATTTATTTCAATAGAACCATCATTTAAAGTTGCTTCTCGCGTAATCTGTTCTAGATCCCACTCAAAAATTGGGTGTGAGGCTTAGCGTAGGATGACGTCCTTTGTTGTTTGTTTTTTTTAAATATGTGAGTAACTCTAGGTCGGTAGGCCCCAAAGACTAAGGCCATTAAAATTCCTCTTAAAAAAAGAAGAAGAGATCTCAACTTCCAGATTTGCCCGAATAAACAGAAGACATTGATTTCAAAACGAAAAAGATGGGAGAGCTGCTGCTGCTGTAGTCAGTCGGACCACAAAGTATGCCAAATCTAGGTAAAATAATTCAAATGTCAGGGAAATTAGAAAATTCGTTGTTCAATTTATATATCGTAATATACGTTTAAACAGTGTAAGTTAGCTCCCCATAATAACTAGTTATTTCAAAAGATAGCAATATAAGAAAATAAGCTTTCACAATCATGGTTAGCGAGAACAATCAGGTATAGAACAATCAGGAATATTAAGCCGTGGTTAAAAGGATCTTGGGAGTCCCTAGGAAATAATTCCCAGAATCAGAAAATTATCCTCAAAATCGAGTTCATAGTGAGCCCTTCGACAATTTTTTTGTCTAAGTAGATATGCATAAGCAGTTCTGACATTCTTTTCAGATAAGTAAGAAGTTGAAAACATCAAAAAAATAGAGTCATTTCATTTCAGAAATTTCCCGAACTTTTTCCAGCTGTTCATGAAATATTAAATATCCATTGGAACGACAGGTCTCATTAACAACCTTCTCGCCGATTGTTGCAAAATGCCCTAACTGCGCTCAATACAATTTACCTACAGCATTCGTTGTTGATATTTAGGATCCCAAAGTTAATCTTCATTCGTAAGAAAAGGATTACAGCTTTGTGGGAAAACAATTTTCTCTTTGGCTAAATCCTCTACTTCAGACAAGATCACATGATTGACCCTTTAAACTGTTATTGTTCAATAATACAAAAGGACATTTTGACTTTTTTTGTTTTCCTTGAGTTTTTAGGCGACATCTCGTGGCAGTGGACGCATCGAATCAGTTGCAGAAAATTCTTCTGTCCAATACGGATGTTCGTTTGTATTAACTCGACGTTTATTTCATTCAACAACCCCCTTTGTCTCGACTAACCATCAAGAGCCCCTCTTTCAATGAGACTTGATAACAATCAAGCAAAGTGCTGGCTGAATTCCTGATGGAAAACCTAAACCCGCTACCGTCTCTATAACAGTGTAGATAACGAGAATGAGCAGGTGCGCTCTCATGCTTTTAATCGAGATATAACTGATTAAAGGGAGGGGATGGATTTCGAAGGGTGCTGCTCGCTTAATGCTATTCTAATTAATTGAATGTCGCATATGTTTTACATGCTTGGAAGCGTTTCTTCATTAACTCGCTTTTTATAATACATATGTTTAGCGTATTCGCTCATTAATAAATAATTCAATAATCATTGGCATTTTTCTTTCGTTTTCTTTGATCTATCAGCCGGTCTGAGCCGGGGACCTTGCAGGTCCGGACCTGCAAGATCCCCGGACCTCTCCAATATTGACTGTGGGAATGTGAGAAAGATCTATATTAGAGTTATTATTACTTTAATGCACGAATTGAATTAGTTTGTCGACTATATCTTCCGAGCAAAATTGTATTGAAAATTTGATTGAATATATATAATAGTTCATGAGAAAACCAAACCTGACAGTATACATTATTGATATATCACTGAAATTGAAGTCATAAACAGTTGCGTAACAGACACATCTTACAAGCCCAGCTGGGGCTGTAAGATGTGTCCCATCTTTTAATTTCGGCCCTATCAATTCCTCAATCCAAGACGGATTGAGAAATTGATAGGGCTGAGATTCAAACTTGCCAAGCCCTTCGTAAGTACCGTCATCTGCTTTCAGAAAAATGTATATACTCTGTATCTGTGGAGTAGGGAGGGTGAGTGTAAGCCCACAGCACTTAGGCTACATGTGACCCATTGTACATCCTCCCAAGGAGTTGTCCTTCTAGGTCACCGTCCATCCTGTCCTTTCCAGCCATAGGCTCAGCCCCAATTGACCCATTCCTACTTCGAGGTTTACACCAGCCGTGCGCAATCGTAACATGGCCATTAACGCAACCTCCTTATGTAATGTATATGCTATAGAGACATGTTTCTGGTGAGATTTTATTTCATCATTATCAGAGAGCCAATTTGCAATATAATGAAGTCTCACTTTTGAATTAGGACTGTAAGGTATTCACAAAGAAAAATCAGGTAATCTTGATTCCTGACGGTGAGCTTTGTCGCTGCTACAGCTGTGTCACTGAAACTGCAGAATACAGTTCTATTGGAACGGAAAATGTTTGAATTCCTTGAAGGAAATTGCTCCTCAGAAAACTATTTAGTTTTGATAAATCTCTGTATTCCAAAGCTCATATAGATTAGGGATATTGACAGAATACCTTATAAGTCGCCGATCTGAGAGGTAAAAGAATGTTGAAGATGGCTAACAAAGAAACTAGGAGATGACGGGGTTCCTGAATTTGCTCCCTATACCGTCATAAACAGTCAGTTCTTCAGTTCATTAGATGTGTGCTTCTATAATCTATTCAGCGAACTCTTTGGCTCTTTCTTGTTGTCGTCAGTGTAGTCGATAAATTCGCCAACGAAGTCAATAAATTCGTCAACGAAGTCGATAAATTCGTCAGCGTAGACGATAAATTCGTCAGCGTAGTCGATAAATTCGTCATATTCTCCTTCAGGATAGCTGCCATCAACGTCTCTTCCAACACGAACGAACGACATCAAAGCAGGCTTTATTATTTCGTCATTCCGTCATCTGACGTAATCGCACGACGGAGGGATACTGTTCATTAGCGAGCTCGGAATTGCCTTTCATCTTTCCATATGGTAGATAGAGAGAGCGAAACGTGCGTGCTGTGGTTAGATAATAATCCGACCTCGGCGAAAGGGGATTGTGTGTTTGGTAATTAGAATTCAGGTTGCGTCTTCTCTCCCTTCTCGAATAATCCGTTGATGTATTCGTCCGTCGGGCGAGCGAGGTTATTGGAATCGCGAGATTGATGTACACGAGGTAAGAAGGGTTATTTTTTGTTCGACAGGGATAGGAGAATGTTTCACTTGACTTCTTGACGAATTGAGTGGTTAGCCCTTCTCTCTCCATATATGATATATTCATTGTTATTTTTCCCTGACTTATGGAAAAATGTATACAATTACGCACATCCCTATTCAATTTACGTCCTCATTACTCCACAGGTATGACGTGTCTATTAGTTTTTATCGTGATTTATGTTCATCAGGCTTTGCCAAGTAGGAGGGGCGTTATTTAAACCGCACAGCATTCTACCGATAAGGAAACTCTCAATGTAAAATGTTCTTCATTATGATCAACCTGTCTATGAATCACACCTCTATATAAAAAAAAACCTTGTTTATTTCTAACTCGCCACAAATTCTGAATTTTAAAGGTTATCAATCGTAAGAGGTTAAACTCATTTTATGATTAGGGACTGACTAATCTCGCCTGCTCTTTCGATGTATTCATTTTTCTAATGCCGAGATTTTTGGAATTCCGATATTGGAATTCTAATTGAAATGGTATTCTTCGACATTTGATACGACAGAACGATATTTCAAATGATTCACCAGAATATTTAGTCTCCTTTGTCTCCACGAAGAGCGTTGGAATATATCCTGCGTAGGTGAGTTGAGACTGGCCTGAACGAATAGTTCTTTCAGATGATTTGATTTACAGCCAGTCTTCAAGTATGCCCCCTTACTATATGTGAAGTTTTTTTCTTATTAGAGGAATTGGGCGATTCGGATATGCGGTTTTACCTCGTTCACGGATACATGCGGCAAAGACAAATATAGTGTTTGTCGTTCGCTTCAATCTAGTTCGAGGAATGATACTCTGAAAAGAGTTCGATGTTGAATTATTGAAAATCATCGACTTTTTGTTGATGATGACACTACCTTACATTGACGAGTGGCCAACTAGCCCGAAACCGGTCTACATGTGTGTTCCAATAATTGAATATCGATTCCAGCAGTTGTATCGCCAACAGCATATGCAGGAATCACTTTTGTGAAGAATCCTGTACTGACACCTGTCGTGTTATTAGCCAGGGGAGTAGTGTTTTCTGATATGTGTCAGTCCATTAACCTGCAGTGTGAGTTGAGACTGGCCTTAACGAATTGTTCTTTCAGATAAGTTGCTAAATAACTCTTCACAAATTAACAAGAGTATGCGAATTAACAAATAACCGTCTCAGAGACTTTGTCCTCAATTATATCCTATACATTTCCATGTGTAATGTTTACCCATTGTATGAAATATTCTCACTTCCCCCAGAAAATTGTTTACACAATGATTATATGCTCGCTCGACATATCTATTCGTGTTTCAATAATATTTTGCGCGGGTTTCTAATATCTTTCCACGTGTCAGTGAATTTCGCCGCAGGGTCAATGCCAGTTATCATGAATAATGGATTCAACTGTAAAGAACACGTGTATATACAGTGGCCTAACGAAAATGAGACCAGACATTTTTGGAGTAATTTTTATCTAGAATCATTTGTGAAAACTGAATGATACGTAGTTTGAAAGATTTTAAGATTCTCATTTGATAAATATAGAGATAAGGAAAGTTTAACACTCACAACTAATATAAAGGGTGTCTTTAAAAAAGGTATAGAACTTTGAATTGGCAACACTTTTCAACAGGCGGCCATTTTGTCCGCTTTCAAGTAATTTATGTTTTGTTTGGTTTTTGACATTTAAAGATGAATAGACTGACTCCTGAACAACGCTTCCAAATTATGCAAATTTATTTTGATATACATATCGCGCACTTCGTCCATTTTAAAGTCAACATATTCGTCCATCAGAGCAATCAATTTGATTAACTATGGAACGTTTTTGCACCACGTTTACTCTAAATGATGATACACACCTACAAAGACTTCGTACAATGCGTACAGAAGAAGTCATTGCTGCTGTAGAGCGTAGCGTATAGGAAGAAGACCCGAGTCAGTCTATCCGCCATCGTGCACAGGAATTGGATATGTGTCCATCCATTTCATGGAAGATTTTGCAGAAAGATCTTGGTTTGCGTGCTTACAAAATTCAAGTCGTGCCAGAATTGAAGCCACACGATCACCCAGCAAGGCGTAGATTCGGTGAATGGGTCCAAAACAAGATTGTCGTTGATCCCGATATTCATAAGCGAATTTTGTTTAGCGATGAAGCTCACTTTTGTTTGAATGGATACGTCAATAAACAGAACTCCGTAGTTGGAGTTATGATAATCGTCAAGTGTATGTTGAGACACCGTTTCATCCAGACTGACTGATGGGCGTGCTTTATGAGCTGGTGGAATCATTGGTCACTACTTCTTTAAAAACGAAATTATGATTACTGACTTTTTCGTTCATCAATTGAACAACCATGATGTGCAGGAGTTGTAGTTTCAACAAGACGGCGCAACATGTCACGCAGCTCGTGCCACAATTGATTTATTGAATTGGTAACCGCATAGTTTCAAGTTTAGGGCCCGTGAATTGGCCTCCGAGATCGTGCGATTCAACGCCGCTAGACTTTTTTCTGTGGGAATATGTGAAGTCGCTAGTCTACGCTGACAGGCCCGAAACGATTGACCATTTGGAGGACAACATTCGTCGCGTTATTGCCGATATACGGCCACAAATGTTGGAAAAAGTCATCGAAAATTGGACCTCCAGATTAGATTACGTCTGAGCCACCCGTGGCGGTCATATGCCAGAAGTCATATTTGAATTATAATGCCAGATTATCCTTCGAATGAAGTAAATTCAAAGTCAATTAATTTTTTTTTTGTTTTACTTCATTTCAAAGTTCCAAACCTATATAAAAAGACCTTATGTATTAAAAATTCCATTAAAAACAGGAACACGCTTCAGTTACGTGAGCATAAATTGAAGATCTTGTGTTCAGGGTTGTAATAAGCCAAAGTATTTGTACGGTACGGTATACATTTAATGCAACACCAATACTTGTTGACACTTCAATGTAATGCCTATAGAACAGAATAACAAAAAGTCACCTCAACTCGAAAACTCTACAAAAAAAGACTGAAATTCGTCAGGAAAGTCGGTACAGATCTGTAAATAAGCCTTCACCTTCCGCATGTATACAGCACTCTATTATAACCAATGCCCCAAAGTGCAGATTCTGATGACGAATCGACATCCTTCCCGATCACGCTTTCAGTTGTGTTTACTTTGAGCTTGAGTATATACCTGTAACTAATTGCGAAGAAGCCTTTAAAATCTTGGTTTGCGTGCTTACAAAATTCAAGTCGTGCCAGAATTGAAGCCACACGATCACCCAGCAAGGCGTAGATTCGGTGAATGGGTCCAAAACGAGATTGTCGTTGATCCCGATATTTATAAGCGAATTTTGTTTAGCGATGAAGCTCACTTTTGTTTGATGATGACGAATCGACATCCTTCCCGATCACGCTTTCAGTTGTGTTTACTTTGAGCTTGAGTATATACCTGTAACTAATTGCGAAGAAGCCTTTAAAATGTTTCTCAAAATTAGTTTGAGTAATATTAGGGTGGTTTGTTTCGTTGAGAAGTGAAGAAAATTGTTATGGGGAATGGTCGGATCGATATCAGAGAAGTTGCTGATGTCGGCATATCGGTTGGTTCATGCCATCCATTTTTTTTTCGTAAATTTTGGGCATGAAGCGTGTAGCAGCGAAGTTCCTTCCAAAATTGCTGAGCATTACTCAGACAATGGGGAATGTTAGTACTGACGAAAATCAAGTAGCTTTAAAACAACGCATTTTAAACTTATCATTTCAACATTTTTCTTTAAAAAATCATTCAAATACTTAAAAAACAGGAATGAAATAATGCATTCAACATTTAAAAGGATTCGTTTCTATTTCACCATTTGGCAACATAGGTTATAGCTAATAAAGGACAATGAATCTGTTACCTATATGGGACAAATAAAGATGACATATTTCAGAGGCGTGCTGTTCTGTTTACTTATGTTCCGAGTTTCGAGTAATTCTGTGACATGACATTTTGTGCACCTAACCTATCTTCCTCTATATAAATAAATAACAAAACAACTGTTGTTTATGTGGCTTGTGGAGGTGGTATTGAACTATAATTTATATTTTGCCCTAATTGTTGATTCATAAAGATAATTTTTCTTTTTTAAAGTAGAATATCTAGATACGTATAAATTATTTCAACTTGATATAGGCGCAGTTGTCAATATGTGAATTAGAAACAAATCCCTTTAAAAATTAAAACCCAACATTTGAAACATCAATTTGAATACTTTTCGAAGTGAATTTGAAAAACTCATGAAGTAAACTCAACTTTATTTTGTTCAAACTTGCATTTGCTGTAATAACCCAAATTGAGGAACATTCCCAATTGTTGAATGACGTCAATGGCGATCCAGATTTGCTTGAAAGGGTCATAACTGGTGACGAATCATGGGTATATGGTTATGACATCGAAATCAAAGTCCAATCGTCTCAATGGAAGAACCCAGGAGGGCTAAGAGCAATAAAAATAGTCCAGGTTCGATGAAATGTCTAGGTTTTGTTCACTATTTTCTTCGATTTCCGAGGCGTAATGCTCAGAAGTTCTTGCCACATGGTCGTTCGGTCAATAAGGAGTATTATCATGAAATTATGCATCGCTTGCGAAAAGAAGACTTTTGCTTCACGATAACGCATTTGCTCACTCGTCATTGCTTGTTCGTAATTTCTTGGTCAAAAACAACACCGTAGTCATGCCCCAGCCACCATA